TGCTAGCTCGTAGCTGCCAGCGTGTGGCTGTGTGGGCGTGCGGTGCGAGGGCGAGAAAGAGCCCGGGTGACGGAGAGTACGTAAAGCCGTACGTATGTTCGTATCTTGCCCATGTTGTTGTATATGTATGTTTTGATTGTGCAGAGTAATCGAGATCTCTGCGAGAGAGTAGTAGATCGCAGACAGTAGATCGCAGACCAGGAGTGGAGATCCTAGCCGATTCTACCACACAGTCGGGCTTGGTTGAAGATGAAAGATTGAGATCACAGATTGTGGATCGTGCTGGCAGTTGCCAGGGTCAAAGGTGGAGATTGGAGATGGAGAACACAGATCGTAGATCCTCGCGCCGGGCATCCACCGCCGGGGCGGAGATTGGAGATCGAGATTGGAGATTGGAGATCGCAGCTGGCGGCGGCAGGGGTCAAATGGGAGATTGGAGATTGGAGATCGGAGATGTGCGGTGTGAATGAATCCATAGCGCATCTCCTTGAAGGTTCGACCCCCCCCCCCCCCCCCCGACCCCCGAATCGAGATTGGAGATTGGAGATTGGAGATGGAGATCGGAGATCTGACTGGATCCGGCAAAATATGACGTTGGAGATTGGAGATTGGAGATGGAGATCGGAGATCTGACTGGATCCGGCAAAATATGACGCTGGAGATTGGAGATTGGAGATGGAGATCGGAGATGATTTTTTATTTTTATTTTTTATTTTTGGCCCGAAGAGCCTGCGGCGCCGGTTTTAACCTCTCCGGCCGACTCGCTGCGCGATTCTCGCTACGGCCCGCGGCGGGGCCGCACCCAGCAAGCTGGGGCCGCTCCTCACGGACTCGGCGCTGACGCGCCTCAAGAAGACCACTACTCGGGCTTGGCTGCGCCGCCCTCGGAGATGTGTCGACGCAAGATTGGAGATGACGCCGCTGTCATCCTCTTTTTCTTTTTTGATAATAAATTATTTTTATTTTTTATTTTTGGCCCGAAGAGCCTGCGGCGCCGGTTTTAACCTCTCCGGCCGACTCGCTGCGCGATTCTCGCTACGGCCCGCGGCGGGGCCGCACCCAGCAAGCTGGGGCCGCTCCTCACGGACTCGGCGCTGACGCGCCTCAAGAAGACCACTACTCGGGCTTGGCTGCGCCGCCCTCGGAGAAGGCGCGTTCTCCGATCTTCATCTCCGATCTCCAATCTCCATTCTTGACCTGTGTGGGGGAGGCGTGTCAGGGGGGGAATCGACGTCCTTCCAAGGGGATGCTCTTTTCCTTTCACACCTTCAAGCGGATCTCCACCCTCTTTTCGCGCCATTTTGCAATCTCCAGTCGGTGCACACGATCTCTAGGCGCCTTTGGCGCGAAGTCAACATCTCCGTCTCCGGCCAGAGATCTCGAGGTGCCGATGTCGGCAGCTCAAGATCTCTATCTTCAGTTAAAGATCTCTGAGTTTTGTGAGAGATGCTGTGTGTGGAAGATCTCTGATCGGCATCTACGATCTCCACTCAACAAATCTACCGGTGTCCCGCAGAGATCTCGATGTATGATTGTGCAAATTAGTGTGAGTCTACAGCCAGCGCGCGCGCGCTCTACGGTTGGCGTTTTGTACGTATACCATACACGGCCCCATGAAAAACGCGCGCTCTTAGCTAGCGCGGTCGCACGTCGCACGTCGCACGTCGCACACACAAGCAGACAGATTGTACCTCTCACGCCCCCTGGCCGCGCGCACCATCCAACGCACAGCCCACAAGTGGCCGCAATCCCTTCTGTACTCACTGGGCGTTCGCTTGGCTGTCAGAGTCAGGCGCGAGAGGCGCCTCCGCGAGTGGGCCCAACCTAGCCGATGCAGGCTCCTCACCGCAGCAAGCTCGAGCGAGCGCTCGGGTCGGCGGGCGGCTTCTTGTCGACCGTTTCTTCAGGGTCAGGCTTCGTCCATCCGTTGCGGCCGGTGAGCCCTGAGCCTATTTCTCAGGAGAGCAGCGTGAGGCTCGGAACGACGCCACACCAGCAGCGCGTGCGAGGCGCGCCAGAGTAAACGCCATCTCCGCCGCCCTCCTCGCGGCGTCTCCCGCCGCCGCCGCCGCCGCCGCCGCCACCACCGCCGCCGCCGCCGCCGCCGCCGCCGCCCCCGCCGCCCCCGCCGCCCCCGCCGCGAGACGGGTTGAATTTAAATGTGCCTCGGCCCTTGCGTTCCAGTGGACTGTCAGTGCTTGCGACGCTGCGTTTCCGCTGCTGCTTCTTGATGCCGCGCTCGCTTCCACCCTTGAGATTCTTTGGACCGCCGGCCTTTTTCTTCTTTTCGCTCTTGATGAGGTCGTCGAGCGAAAGAGAGAGGGAGCCCATCGATGCAGCGGTAACAGGCACAGTTGTAGCCCAGCGTGGCCTCCGCAGGCGTGCAGCGAAACCCCGCCACTCCGCTGTGAATCACAGACCGGCTTCATAGCGCCATAGGACGTATTTTCTTCTCATAACAAGGCTGTGAAAGCTCAGATTGCGTCGCACGAGCGGTGGCTTCGCTGCCTCGCCGCCTGCGAGCGGCTGGATGCCGAGATGGACGAACGACCCAGGACGGCGTCAAACATCGGGGGGCGACACGCTGCTTCATCACCGTCTCTCAGTTCGCCTCGGGAGCGTGGCTCGACCTCTGCCCCGACGGCCGGCACTCCTCCAAAATCACCTCGGAGGTTTTTGCCACGGCGCTGCAGCGCCGCCACGCCTACTACATTTCGCTGCGCCAAGTACGTGTACGACGCCAAGGAGGCGGCTGGTGAGACAGTCACCATCGGTATGTGGAAGGGCGACCAGCTTGCAAACGGATCGAAGGACATTCCGTGCGAGCACAACATTCGTCAACGGCACCATGTATGCGACGGCCAACATGGTCCGTGCACGAGCCTGCGGCAAGCTCGTGCTCGGTGACAAGGCGAACCCTCAGGCGACTTTCCATCTCAACGAGGGGGACATGTGTGAGATCGGCGGGGACCTGCAGTCCCAGCGCGATGTCCACTATGAAGTCAAGGTGCCTAGCGCCCTCACAAAGACGAGGCAGGCTGGGCAGGGCTCGGCGGCACACGGCGGATGCTGTGCGTCACTGGGCCAAAAATTTGGTTTCGGCAACACCCTTGACCAAACCTTGCTCAAGGTTCTTGGGTGCAAAGAGCGCGGCCACAAGTCACAGGGCCCGCTCGTCCATGCGAACGGCAAAGGCTGGGTCAAAGAGCACAAGGGACAGTACTACGACGCGCTCCATGTCAAGAACGGAATCGTCAAAATTTGTCTCGTTGAAAGCCGCCAACCAAGAGAATCATCCACAACTTCGCCAAAGAGGTCGGCAGCCCGAGCGCCGTCGACCGCACCGACTACGGCACAGCCTCCGGCAGCGCCCGGGGCTTCGTCCAGCACCACTCGCAACAGCTCTCGCGCGCCGCCGTCTGTGGCGACGCGCAGAACATCAACAACGCTGCTCGCAACATGCGCGTGTCGCGCACTCGTTCATGACCGGTCTCAATGCCCCACCCCCCTGCGCGCGGGCCTTCTAGGCCCGCGGGTGTAGTCTCCCCCCATCCCCAGGGCCTCCAGCAGGGCTCGCACCTCAACCTCTCACAGACCAGCGCACAGCGCCATAGGACGTACGTATTTTCTTCTCAATAACAAGGCTGTGAACACCGAGGGGCCTCGGTCTTGCGGAGCTGCTGTCGGTGTACGAACTCTGTTCACACCGAGCAGCTGGGAGTGGCTGCCGCAGCGGCTATAGCAGACAGGCGTGCAGGCCTTGTTGGGAAAGAGAAAAAGTACTAGACTAACGGTGTGGGGGCGCGGAGGGCTTGTTGGCGAGACAAAATGGTGATATCCGAGGCGCTGCGCTAGGCTCATCACGAGTCACGACTTTCACGAGAGCGAGTTCGCGCTGCGCTAGGCTCAGACGGCGAGTTCGCGCTGCGCTACGTAGGGCCTAGGCTCGCAGCGATGGCGAGTGCGCTGCGATAGATTTATAGAAAGCAGGAGTCCCTTTCAAAGAGGCGGCCGCCAGGCGAGTGCAGCGGCAGCGGCAGCGAGGCTGCGCCTCGCGTCGTCGCGGACGAGCAGGACGGCGGGAAGGGGCTGTGGGCTGCTGCGAGACTTGCGGAGTCACGAGCGAGGGCGGCGGCGGCGGCGCCGCCGCCGCCGCGGGTGTACCAGCGGCGGGCGCGGCTCCGGAGGACCGCGAGGAACGGCTCGAGCGCGTGAAGGATGGTCTGCGGAGCGAGGCCACATGCAGGAGCGGCCGGCTTTCCGTTGCCGGCACCAACTTGATTCGTAGATCGGTCTCCCCCTCCCCCTAGATTGCCTATATGGGCCGCCACCCCCCTCCAATCCGTAATTCCGTAAAATCGCGTAAAAAGCGCCCAAATTGAGCGTGGAAGCGGCTCCAGCCGCCTCGGAGCGTGCCCCAGCTTGCGGCAGGCGATACACTGAGGACTTTTTCGGCGACGGATAGCCGACCTCAGTACGTTCGAGGCTGTGCTCTTGCACGATACAGGCGCGGTGCTCGACGCGATCCGAATCACCGCTGCAGCCGCAGAGGCTGGTGGCGTGCGGCGGCTTATGCCAGCTCGGCCACGAGCAATGGTTGTTGTGTCCCCAAGCAGGTTTGCTACCGCTGGCGTAATCTCTGTGCAGCACAAGGGCAGCTTCTCCCGCACTCTCGTCAGCACAGACATGCAAACCACGCTAAGGGGCTCGGACATCCATGCAGCCGCGAGTGCTAAGATGCTGCTCCGGCAGGAGTTGGAAGAGAAGTTGCGGTCACGGTTAAGGAGCTTCTGAGCAGCGCTCTGCGAGCGCTGTGAAGAGGGCGCTCGCGTCGGCGCGGGATGAGCTTGCTGCGGCACAAGAGCTGAGGCGCTCCGACAGCGACAACCTGAGGACAGCGCAGCAGGCTGCTAAAGTAACGCGACATCAAAGCGGCCGAGCGGATGGCCGACGAGGTAAAACACGCAGCTCGAGCTGAGTGCGAGTGGTGTATCGGCGAGATGCGTGCCAAGATGCAGGCTGAGCTGCGCGAGCAGCTCGACGCGCTGCAGATTTCGATGGAGGCAGAGGCGAGGCGCGCTGATGCCGCAGCCGAGGCGGAGTGGCGGAGAGGTCAAGGCGCTGTACAACAAGATGGAGGGGATTATATGCACACGCGTGAGGGGTTGATAGCCGCAGAGGCGCAGCTCGGCAAGCACGAATATAGTGATTGTTCAGAAACACATACGGAGCTTTTGTTCCCCCTCCCACTGTGAGCCTGGGCCGCCCGTGGACCCCAGAGAGCTGCTGCGCGTGCAGAGCACAGGCCACAGCGTTGCGCGAGCGTTGGAGAGGCCAGCCTCCGGCTTCTCAGCGTGTCGCGAGTGCTGTGTCTCTATCTGCCTGGTGGATGGGTGTGGTGGGGGACTCCTGGTGGCTTTTGGTTACAAATTTACGGAATTACGGATCGTTTTTACACGGATCGACGCACGGCGCGCACGCCCCCCCCTCTCTCCCGCCGTGAGACGCCGATCTACGAATAAAGTTGGTGCCGGTTGGCCTGGCGCGAGAGGGAGGCGTGATTTCTTTTTCGCTCGGCTGAAGCTCGAAGCAGTGCAGTGCGTAGAAGAAGGTAGCGCATAACGTGCGAAAATGCCACACCAGCCGAACTTTGTACTCTGCGCTTTCGATGGGGCTGGGATGCAGTGGGGATGATGCGGCGCGGTCCGCCACAGCCAACGCCTCTCCTTGGTCAGAGCAAGGCGGCTGCGTTCCGCGGCAAGACCATCGGCGCGCCCACCGCCGCAGCGGCCTCCGGCCCCTCGACCACCTAAGGAAGGGCTGCATCATGTGCCGCTCGTCATCTCGTCATCGCTGACCCCGCCGCCACCGCCTTCCTCCGAGCGCGCGCCTCCACGAGCTTGAGTGCGAAATCGATGGCGGTGCCGGGGCCTCGCGACGTGACGCACCTAGACGGTCGGGACAGCGTTGGGCGACGACCCGCTCCGGGTCAAGCGCGGTCTGACGTCACCACCGCCACTCGTCGTCGACGACCACCCGCATCGACAGGTCGGCGGCAGAGACGCCCGCCTAGAGGGGAGCGCTTTCTGGACGCGGGCCTCTGGTGTGCGTGGCAGCGGCGGCGGCGTGCGCGCCTCGGCCAGCGTCGACTCGAAGGCGGGGTGACAGGTGGCCTGAGGCGGCAGCAGCCCGGACGGCGCGAGGGCGACGGCGGGAGCGGCGCAGATCGCGCCATACCAGTTGCCCGCCTCTCGCTGCTTGCGAAGGCATGCAATCACCGACGCGTCCTCGCCCAGGCGTTCAGCGCCCGGCATGCCTCCAGGGATCGCGACCACGTCGAAGGAGACGAGCTTTGCCTCCTCGATGGTTGTATCGGCAAGGAGGCGCTGCCCGCGGGCGCAAAGCACAGGAGCGCCGTCTGCGACGCCGACGCTGGCCAGTGTGACTGACCAGCCCGCGCGCCGGAGGACGTTAACGATGGCGGTCGCCTCGAGCTCCTGCGCGGCGTCGAGCGGGGATAAGACCTTTAAGACTAGCTGTGTGAATCTCGATTGCTCGGCAGACCTCTGATCCCTCAGTGATTGGCACGAGCGCGCTCGGTGGTCCGGCCGTGGCGGTGGCGGTGGCGGCGGCGGCGCGGCTGGCGCGCGGGTGGTTCGCGTGGAGACCGAAAGCCGTGAGCAGAAGCGCACTCATGGCGGTGCCAGAAGAAAATACGTTGCCCGCGCAGCCCATATCCGTTATCCGTTAGTGCGGACGTCGCCGCGGCTCGCCTCTGCCGCGGTGGCTGCTGCGCGCACGCGGCGGCGCCGCTCTCTCGCGAGACGGCTGGCGACGCGGCTCGCCGCCGACGTACGGTGCGCTCGTCCGACGGTCCGCGGCGTGGCGTGCGCGGCGCTGAGCGCCGCTCTGCGAGCGCCTCTGCGCCTGCACTGCCTGTTTCTGTTGCTGCTGGTGGTGGTGGTGCTGCTGCTGCTGGTGCCGATGCTGCTGCTGGCGCGGCGCGGCTGTGCGACTGGGCTCGACGCGCGCGTCGCGAGCGTCTGACGCGGCGGGCGGCGTCGGGCAGGTGCGCTTCTCTCTCGGGTGGTGGTGGTGGTGCTGCTGCTGCTGCTGGTGGTGCAGGTGCTGCTGCTGGTGCGGCGCGGCTCTCCGACGCGACTCGATGCGCGCGTCGCGGCTATCTGACGCGGCGGGCGGCGTCGCGGGCGGCAGCGGTGGCGGCTCGACGGTGGAGGTGGAGGCTGGTGGCTGTGGTGGACTTTGAGTTTATTTCATGGTCGTGTACGGGGACCGGGGGGTCAACCGGGAGGCAGGGGGTTCAACCAGGCGACGGAGGACCGTGGGCCATCGCGGGGACCAGCTTGTCCGGAGGGCGGGCTGGGCAGATCCGGATGGTCTCACCCGGTGGGAGGCACCGAGGCGTCTTGGACGCTCAGCTCTACCTTAAGCTCCTGAGGGGCGCGTGGTTCTAACCACGTAGTAGGACTACAGCCCACCACAGACACACTCCCTCTCCACACGTGTGCACACACCCTCACCCTCTCCTCTCTCCTCTCTCTCTCTCTCTCCTCTCTCATCCTTGTCTGCTGTCTGCCTGACTCAGGCACTCAATCTGCCGATGCGTGATTGTGTGTGGGCTGCTCCGAGGGGGCCCTGTGCAATCCGATGGGTAGGGAGTCTGTGCCCGGGCGGTGTCCGGTGTGGAGTCTCTCTCTGATCCCACCTGTGCTGTTGGGTGTGAGGTCGTGGAAGCTTCGATCCCAAGGGGGGGAGCCGAGCCCACTCATAACCAACTCTCAGGGGCAGTAGGTGGGCGAGCCTCGAGCGCGCTCATCTCGATCGTGAAGGCGTCGCTACGCGCGGTCTTCCGCGGGGGGAGCTGCGTCGACGGGTGCGGGACCGTGGCGCAGACAGCGCTGCGGCGATGCCTCCGGCCGTTTGCGGCGGGCGGCTTGCTGCTCGCTGCATGGCGAAAAACTCGTCTCGCCACACGCCAAGGGCTTATGCTCTGGCGAGACGTGAGGCGCATGCGCCCAGGAGGGGAGGGCGCATGTGTAACGACACTGCTAGAGATGCCTTTCGGGGCCCAGAGATAAAACTTCTGTGATGCCATGCGTGACCTAGTAGTGTCCCCAGCTATGGGCGTGTCCACGTTGGAGCCAGGTGTGGTGTGGGCGCGAGAATAGCTCCGCCGTTCATGGAGGCAACCGATGCGAGTCGACTGGTGTGTGTCGTCGTGGTTTCGTATCAAGAATTCTCTCTCTCTCCCCATACCTACCTACCTATCGTTCGTCCCTGCTTCGCCACCTTTGCGCTTTGGTTCACGGCGTGGTTGTTGTTTGTTCCTCTAGTGAGTCTTGTTGCTTGAGCTTGTGAGCTTAACCTTGGTCTTAGACAGATCATAAGTCTAACCTTGGTTTTAGACAGATGCTCTCATCGGCTCAGGGCGCGCGCCGCCGCGAGTCGCTCTTGTCGCAGTTTGCGACATGGGCAAGCACGTGGCCGTGGCAGTCGTGCGGTGCACACCAGCAAGCGAGCACCTTGCCACGGAGCTCAGAGCGTGCCGCCCGCGCGACCAGCCCCGGGCGATCTGCAAGCCACGCTCGGTAGCCGGCGATCACCCGGGCGCGCTCACCGGAGAGTTTTTTTGGTCAGCTGGAGCGGATTGCCCCAGCCGCCGTCGATGGTGCAGCAAAGGAGCTGGCTGGAGAGCATGCAGACACAACCTGAAGCAACGTCGCAATATGGACATCAGCGAGATTGCAGCCAAGTACGGGATTGCCTATGGCCAGGGCTGCAGCGGTAACAGGCACGCAACCGCTGGCGCCCATCCGTAAACTCGCGAGGGCTGCCACCGCAGCCGCGAGGAGGCTCACGGGGAGGACCGCTTGAGGGGCGGGGGGCCGGGGCCGGCGGCGAGCGGCGCAGCGAGGGCAGGGGTGGCCGAGGTTCAAGGATGAAGGGGTTTCGGGCTGGCTGGACGGTTCCAAGCGCCGAGGGGTCCGAGGCAGGGCAGGGCGAGGGGCATGTGCATGCATGTGGGGGATTCGAGCGCATCTGTCGTCTACGTTCGTCTGGAGGTCGACTGACGGATCGGGTGTCATCTCGGGCTGCCACCGCGAATTTTCTGGCGCAGGTGGCTGCCCACTGCCTATAATAGGATCATATAACCAACACAAAGAAAGAAAGAAAACAGACGTCGCCGGGAGCCGCAACAAGAAAAGAAAAGAGAAATTTACAACAAAGCTCCCTCGCACGACACTCGGCCGGGACTGGCGCGCGGACGGCAAAAAGAGAAAAACAACCCACAATCAGAGAGCTGGCCATCAGCCCACTGTCCGGCCCCCTGACCAATGCCCGCTGTCGCTGCCTCCCTCGTCCTGATCCTCGGGCTGCACTCCCCGCCGGCGCTCCGGCCGCGTCCCGCCGTCTCGCGCGCGAGCTGTCCCGTCGCGGTCAGCATCCCGTTCGCACGCCCGTCCGTGCCAGCCTCGCCGCTCCAGGTCCTCTACGACGGGACCTGCGCGGTGTGCCTGACAAACAAGGCGCTGCTGACCTTCTTTGACCGCAAGCGCGGCCGCGTCTCCTTTGTCGACATCAACGCCTTTGGCGAGGGCGGCTACCGCGTCGGCGAGGGCGGTGGCGTCATCTCGCGCGACGAAGCGATGCGCCACATCCACGTGATCGGCCCGGGCGCGGCGGTCTCGTCGGGAGCCGACGCCGTGCTCTCGGCGTACGAGGCCGTCGGCCTCGGCTGGCTCGTCGCCGTGCTGCGCCTGCCGATCATCAGCCTCCTCATCCGGGCGGTGTACGCCTTTGTCTCAAAACACAGGCGACAGACGGTTTGCGCGCACGCGTGGTAGGGGCCGGTCGCCAACGCCCGGCGCACACCCGCCCCCTTCAGGTACACCCTCTCGAGGCTACTGCCCGGTTTTCTCACGCGGCGCCTCTTTGGCGCGGTCAACTCGCTCCACCAGATGGACTCTGCGGCGCAAGGTTTCGGGTGCGACGATGAGGAGGAGTGCGAGCTGCCTTATGACGATTGAGCGCCGGGAGGGAGGCCCTCCTCGCGTGCGGGTCGCCGCGGGAGGGTTGCGGCGGAGCAGTACTACTTTCTGCAGGCCCCTTCTCGTCGCGACGGAGACTGAGAGCATGCATGCTTGTCAGGCGGAGAGGCCTGTCCCCCGGGGGTGGTCCTCCCTTGCCGAGACCCGAACTCTACACGGCGAGACGGGATGAGACAAGAAAATATCGGGAAAAACTACCGTCAATTTCCTCTCGCCTCTCGGCGTCGAAAAAGAATTCGGGAGTCCGAGCACTCCAAAGACCGCTCCACAAATAAAAGGAGAAATTTTGGCGTTTCGCGTTTTCGGTGCACTCTTTTGCGTCTTGGCAAGATCTTGGTACTTGAAAAAAAATATTCCGCAAAATATTAGGACCACACCAGGCCACCACACAGGGATTTTAAGAGGAGGAGTGTGCACTTGGAGCGTGGTGCTAGCCGTCGCCCACCCTTGCGCCTTGGGGCTTGGGCCTTGCGCCTTGGGCGTCTGCCTCTTCCTATCGGCTATCTGGAGCACTTGGATTGCAGTCAGCACTTGGAGCACTTGGAGTGCAGTCATTGGCCTCACACCCAGGGCCGGGGAGCTAGGGAGGGGTGGAAGAAATGTGAAACGATTCCGATTTGTGAAACGCCTCTCTCGACTTTTTTCGCGAGCCACAGGCGCTCGCCCCCTGAGCCACAGCGCCTCCGGACAGCGTGCCGAGCGCCTGCTACAGGCCTGCCTGCAGCCCAGCCGCACTCGCTGCGGCGGCAGCTAGTCGGTTCGGCCTGGACTCGCGCGCGCCGAGATGGGAACCCAACACACGGCGCGTCGACCCGCCTACGCTTTTGCAACAAAGTCTGCTTGGCTTGTGCAGGTGATGCCCAGAGCAGCAGAGACGACGCCGGCAGCCTCGGCTCGACCTCGAAGGCGGATCTCGTGGCCAAAAACCTGTGCTCTATTCGTCGGTGGTTCACAGTAGACGTCTGTGTAGGGAAGCTCTCGCGTCGACTACGGCCGCCGAAGACTGTCTATGAGGGCACACCCGAGGAGGCGCCGATTTCAAGCACCGTGCGGCGGTGGCCAGGTCACAGGCATCGGCTGTGACACTGGAGAGTCGAGCAGCGGCACTGAACTTCCCTACAGGTCATTCCAGCGACCCACGGAGTACGGTCTCAGCGCGCAATCACTCTACTAGATCCCATCCTTGCCGGGCCTCTGCGAATGTAGGTACCGAGTTCATGCGTGGCCAGGTTGCAGGCCCATACTGCCTGGTCTCCAGCACCTATGATCACCGCGCCAGGCCGCAGTCGACGACGTTTGTGTGCGCTGGCCGCACTCAACCGTTGAGTCGCGGTGTATCAGTCTGACCACACTCGGGACCGCGTAGGCGATGTGGGCGACTCTGGCCGTCCTGCATATGACCGACCATGACCCAGGAGGAGTGTACACGAGACATATCGTACATGGCTGGCGTTCTCGCGGCAGCACTATCGCGTGCGGCCGAGTGCGAGCTTCCGTGCCCGGTGCCAGACGCACTCGGCGCCAGACGTCCTCGGGAGCTCGCAGTTTTGCCATACTTGCCTGCCCTCCCACTGGCTCGGCGCTCCTGGTCCCCACCCTCGTAGGCAAGGCTGAGCGACCCCGAGCTCCAGGGCGCCATCGCCGTGCTCGGCGGCGCCGCCAAGGGCGCGAAAGACGCGCTCACAAAGGACTAGACGCGCTGCTGCTAAAGAAGCCGGGCACGCTCGTCGCGAGAAGTGGCTGCCGCCGCCGTCGGGAGGGCGGCAGCCACTTCTCGCGCTGCCCAACGCGCCTTCGCCGACCGCCGCGCCATCGCCGATGCCGTTGCTCGCGCTACCGGCGCCACCGGCCGCGCGGGCCGCGCTGGCGGCGCCGCCGCCGGCCGCTGCGGCTCCGCAGAAGCGATCCCTCGCGCAGAATCGCCCTCGGTGCCGCGGCGGGCCGGGGGAGAGGGCGTGAGGGTGTCTGTGGTGGGTAGGGCCCCCTTGCCCATCGGGTCGCTGCGCGCTAGAGCAGCGGCGGCCCGCCTAGGGGGCTCAGGGCGGCCTGCCGGAGGGTGCCCCTAATGTGAAACACCTCCGGGGGAGGCCAACTTTGAGTGGTTGTGCCGAGTACTGTTTAAGGGTTGTGGGGCTGCTGTGGGCGGTTTTGGGCGTCCCTGGGGCACCCTCTGGAAGGGTCTGGCCCGTTGGTTCGGGGGGCGTCGCGTCTAGGGGGTGTATTCACACCTCAAAAATCGTTTCACGGAAGGTACACCCCTCCCTACATGTACATGTTGTACGAAGCGCACTCATCAGTCCCTGCTCGGGCATTTAGGCGCCGTTTTCCACGTGCCCCCGCTAGACGCCGCACTCGGCACTCGAACACGATGTTCGAGGTGGGCGACTGGGGCGAGGAGGAGGCGCCGCCGCCTCCTCGTACCGTGGCGGACGCCGACCTCGAGGCGCTCCTCCAGCGGGTCGAGCTCTCGCCGGCCGAGGCGGTGGCAGCGGCGCCGGCTCGCGCCAAGCCGCCGCCGGCGCGGGTTCACGCCGCTCCTGCGGCTACACAGCCCCCCGCGGCGCCCGCCGGCCCGTCTGTCGAGCTCGGCTTTGCGGACGCGGGTCAGGCGCACCCGCGCTTCCCCTCCAAGGTTGGAGGGGCGCCCGTGTGGCTGCACCCACAGCCGCCGGGCGCACTCGCTTGCGCTCGGTGCGGCCGTGGCCTCCGCCTCCTGGTCCAGCTCTACTGCCCGCGGCCGGGGATGCCCCACGCCTTCCACTGCTCTCTGCTGCTCTTCTGCTGCGGCGGCGACTGCCTCGAGACGCCCGCGGGCTGGCGGGCGCTCCGCTGCGTGCTTCCCGAGGCTGCGCCGCTGGAGCCGCCGCAGGCCGGCGGCTCCGCCTGCTCCGACAGCCCGGACAGCCCCGCCTGCGGCCCCACGGCGGCGGGCGCCACGGACGCCGCCGGCGCCGCCGCCAGTCGGGCGCCGTTGCCGGAGCTGCCGCTGAGCATCGACGTCGAGGGCGACTGGGAGGGGTGGCTCGAGGAGTGGGACTGGTCTGAGGTTGCGGCGGCCGAGGCGGCGGCCGAGCGCTATCGCGCGAGGCATGCCGCTGACGCGGGCGCGGCGCCGGACGACGCGTTGTCGGAGGCGGAGCTCGGCGAGGGCGAGGGCGAGGACGAGGGCGAGGACGACGCGCTCGCGGCCTTCCAAAGGCGCGTGAGCGCGTGGCCAGAGCAAGTGCTGCGGTACTGCCACCACGCCGACGCGCAGCCGCTGTGGCTGTCGCGCCTTCGCCGGCCCGCGGAGGTGCCGCCGTGCGGCCGCTGCGGCGCGCCGCGCTGGTTCGAGTACCAGATCGTGCCCAACCTGGTGGCGTCGATCGAGCGGGCGGCGGAGGCGGGAGGCGCCGGGGACGCGGCCGCGCCAGAGGAGGCGCTCGACTGGGGCACCGTGGCCGTCTTCACGTGCTCCGCGTCGTGCGCGGCCACGGGCGAAGCCGATGCGTACGCAGAGGAGTACTGCTGGCACCAGACAGCGTGAGTGCGGCGAAACGAGGAGTCAGTTGTGCGTGTCCTAGGTGCGGTTGAACCCCCGACTTCGTAAATTCTTTTACTGGCAAAATACTTTTTCCGGCCCCTTCGCTCGCATGGAAGCCCAAGCAAGCTGGCCTCTGACTGATGACGCCCGACGCCCCGACGTCTCTTCTCGTGGAGTGTCCGCGCCTCTCCCGCCGGTGCCACCAGACGACTGCATTCTCCTCCTGCCCGAGGACCCGGTGATTGTTGCGCTCGTGCTGGGCAACTCTGCCGCCTGCACGGCCGCCGCGCTCGCCTCGGCCGGCTGCGCGCTCTCCTCGAATTGCCCGGCCGCATGGTGGAGGCTCCTGTACTGGGCGACGCTGCTGTGCGGGTGGCTGGTGCGCCGGCACCCGCCGCAACGCGCCACCGCGCCGCCACGCCGCCGGCACCACCACCACAGAGGCTCTCCCGGCCTCGCGCGCACTGGCCCGCCTGATACCGACCCACGTACCTCTCTCGCAGCTGCCCGAGGTCCTCAGCGTGGCGCTGCTCGCGGGCCAGTTCAGCGCCCTTGGCCGGTGCAGGGCGGCGCTGCGATCGCGCCTCTTCTTCTACGCGACGCTCCTCGGCGCCGCTGCGTGCGCCCTCCTCTTCCTCCAGCTTCCGGGCGCGGGCGCCGGGCTGCTCTCCGCGGTCGCGGGTGGCGGCGGCCTCCTGCTGCTGGCGCTGCTCTTGGGCCAGGGCATGGTCGCCTTGCCGCGGGCGCTCTGGACGCTGGCGCCGTCCGACGAGTGGCGCCGCTCGCTCGCGTATGGCCTCGCCGTCGTCGACGCGGAGCACCGCGCCCGCGCCCGCGCGCTCGAGGACTGCCTGCAGCACGTGGACGCAGTCGTGAGGCTGGCGCCGCCGCCGCCGCGCGCCGGCGACGTGCGCAGGCGCGAGACGCTGCTCGAGTTGGCGGCGCTGGCGCTCTCCGAGCGCGCGCCCGCCGCGGGCGGAGCATCGCTGACGACTCGCCTGTGCGGCGCGCTTCCGACGCTCGCCGTCGCGCCGACCGGCGCGGGCTTGGCGCGCCACCACCACCGGCTGCGGGTGGCGTTCGCCGCCGAGCGCGCTGCGTGGCGGCGGCGCGAGCGCTGCCTCGAGCGGGCGTGCGCGCTGAGGGCGGCGCTGTCTGCCACGGAGCGCGGTTTTGGCGGTGCGGCCGTCCCCGCGCGGCGTGGCCTGTGGCTCGGCGCGCTGCGGCAGCCCGCCTTGCGCGCGGCATCTCTCGGGCTCGGGCTGCTGAGCGCGCTGCAGCTCTGGGGCGCCGCCTCGTGCGGCCTGACCGGCATCTCGGCGCAGCCGTCGCTCTGCGAGGAGCGCCCGGCGCTGCTCCGCGCCCTGCTGCTCGTCCACGCCGCGCTGTGCACCGCGTTCGCCCTCGCGCGCTCCCGGATGCTCACCCACCTGCCGCTCCGCTTCCCGCGCCCCGACGGGCGCGCGCTGCTCCAGACGACGGCGTGGAGCCTCCGCCTCGCCGCGCCGCTCGTGCTGCACGTGCTGCACAACAGCTCGCGCGG